CTTTTAGCTGTTTGAAGGTTCTGTGTAAAAGTCTGCATCTTTTTCCTTAAATTAAATAATCATACCATAATTAGAAAGAAAAATTTTTGTTCCAAAGAAAAGTTTTTATTGTGCCATGCGTGAGAGGTAATTTTTGTGTGATTCAAGGATCATCTTGAAAGAATCCGTGGGTTTCTTTCAATAAAAAAAGATAGTGGTGGTCATAAAATTTCAAAGTCCCTTTCCATAAAGACCAGAATAAATTTTCTTTATTGACTGGTATCGAAACGGACTTTGAAAGTAGACTCAAGCTTTCAGGTCCATTTTGCTTTGTATCAATCTTAGAAAGCGCCATATAATCAATAATAATGAGAATTGATCTCACAGCCATGAACTTATTTTTTATTGGGCTGTACGCATCTTTAAATTATGAGTCAGATTCTGATATCTGGACCAAATGCCAATTATGCCTTGCCACAACTTCATGAAATAAGCTATGGAGACACCTTTATGATGTGTGTGACTTTGATGTCGCAAGACTGGCTTTTTAACGCCCATGAATATCAAGGAAAAGCTCGCTCCGTGCGACACTTTATCTAAAAAAACTGCATAACATTGTTAAAAAAGTGAGGTCAGTTTAGACGCATAGTCTTAGAGACGCGAAATCCACATCTTAACTGCTCTACCAGATGATCTGTGGTCACGAGTCAGTGGGGAATCTCTTTCAATAGGCCGATGATATCTGACATTCAAAACAATTCAGGTGGTTTATTTCATCTTGGTGAATTATTCTTTGAGTGAAAAACTTCTTTTGGAATGGTCTAAAGACTGGTCCTTTGTGCCTGGTAACCTGATTTGATACTGTGACTTACAAGTCTTTATCAGTTTTTGGCCCCTAGCGGTGTATGAAAGTTCACTTTTCCGGAAATGCTCCATAATAACTGATTTATTTAATATTAAAATAATCTTTTTGTCAGATTTGCAGGACACGTTTACCAAATATGACAAGAGTTATGAAATTTGATAATTAAGTTCAGTTTAACAAGATTTTAAGGTTGAAAATACTTCATTGTTTCCCTGATCCATCTATAGATCAAAGATGTTTGAACTCATCTAAAGCTTGCAATAGTCCTAAAGATTTAAGCTGGAAGCAAGTTAGTATTCACTAGAAGTCGCTCTGCGTTTGAAGTAGGAAGTATGCAGCACACGCTTTTGAGAAAAGTAACTCACTGGAAAGAAAGGGCGATGTGCCATGTACTTCAGCCTAAGCTACTATACAGTGATATTTTTTCTTACCCACGAACGCCTCAATTTTTTTTATCAAATCCTAAAGCTATGTCTTAACTTTTCACAAACAAACAACCGGATTAAGTCTAAAGTCATCAATATGGCAAGTTACTCCTGGTGCGAATGAGCCACATTCATACACCACCAACTTTTAACCCTATGTACAAGAAAAAAATATGTACCAAGCAAAAAACGAACTTTATTTTCTTTTGGAGGTTTCAGAACAAATAAACTTTTTTTTCACCTTTAGTTGCTATACAATGCTATATTATGCACCAGAAATATCTGCAGTATAAGACAACTTCGACCCCTTACTATTTCAAATGTACAATAAAGTCATAAATGGCAGTTTATTCAAGATTGGACCTTACTAGACCAATATACTATGACTGATATTTCTTGTTTTTCTGAGCCTTCTAAATTACGATTCACTAGAAGTAGCTCATGGAGATACACGCCATAATAGACAGATATCACGCTTGCCAAGATTCCTTCCGGACCATGCATGTGATAGTTAGCAATTTTGTTTTTTCTTGTTTCGTTCGATCGTTGTTTATTGTTTTTGTCAATTGTTATTCCGTACTTCTGCCTTCTATTTTCGCGGTAGTTTATTCAAGAGCTGAGAATTGGCAAAGTCAACATACGAGGGACCATGAGGTATAAATAGCCGAAAACAGTGTATTCTACACAAGTCTACTATAAAAGAATAGAATGTTGCGTATCTCATCAGAAAAGACTGGAAAAATCTTCTGTTGAAAGGCGAAACTGTCTTGTTGATATTTACATTCGGCTCTTCATGAAAGTAAACGAAGTGGCGGTCACCGTCTTATTGCTTTTTTTAAACTTCGTGTTTGCAGAAGTGATTCTAGAGAATACTACTGAAGTCACCCCGGGTGATAAAAACCTAACACATCTCAATATTGTCGATGGTGTAAACTACAGGATATTCAACAGCTCCAGTGTTAGTATCCTGGGAAATGTTTTTAATAATGGCAGTTTTCAGATAAGAAATGACAATATGTCATTTGAATTGAGATCATATGGACCACTGATTCAAAATAATGGGTATGTCTCATTCTTATCACGCTTACCACAGGCCAATCCTCTGTTTCCCTCTTCACTGAACGCGTTTTCTGGAATAATGGTGATATGTTTTTTGGTCTGTGTAAAACCCAATTCCAAGAAACACCCTTTTTGGTAGTTTCCCAAGGGTTATGGTTAAACCAGGGTACATTGATTTTCCAGAAAGAAAAGGGATCAATGGCTGGCATGATAATTGACGGGAAATCCCCAAATGACAACTCTAGAGCTGTCACTAACCAGGGATCAATCTGTTTGTACAACACAAATTGGAGATCACACACGAACATTAAGGGTAATGGATGTATCACAGTGGGTCCGACCTCGAAATTGAATTTAGAATGTGGGCACGGTGGACTCGCAATTGAAAACACGCAGACTGTCTACCTCAGCACTTCTACCTCCGTATTGCAAGTATCTGGATTACAGAATTTGTTTAACGTCGTCGAAGTAAAAGTTGCAGGCTTCGGAAACAGTAATGCAATTGATTTGGACATATTTTTTATGCCCCAAGCAACGACCTTTGAGTATCTTGAAGATACAGGCACTTTGGAGGTCACTCACTTCAGAAGATTGGTGATTCGACTCCAAATTGGCCCGAGATATGTTTCTAGACATTTCAGATTGACACGTGGTCTTTATGGCTCTAGGATTATTTATCATCTTCCTGCTCCTCATTACCCTCCTGATAGCTGTTCATGTGAGCCTGTGTGTCCATAGATGACAGCCAAGTATAAGCTGTCTTTGCCAGTGGTTGCTTATCGGAAT